CGCCGTTCAGCGAGCCGACGCGTTTCGTCGCGCGGTCATCCGGCCTGCACAGTCGCGACGTTCATTTATTTTCCCGATCAAGATTCTCTGCCAACCGGCCCCGCTAATCGACCCCGTCGTTGTATTATCCGCGCCGTAACCGTCTGATTAATTTCATCTCGACGACACCGATCGACAACGCGGCGCGCGGACCCTCACCGTCGAAATTGAGCGCCACTGCGTAAGATCGTTTATTCTTATGTGCCAACGCTCGTTGAGCTTTACCGTGATAAAATATACGCGAGAGAAAGAAAGAAAAGAGAGAGAGAGAGAGAGATTGTGGAGCAAAAAGCACCGGCAATTTCTGACCGGTGGTTTTTGTCCCGCGTACGGAGAACGGTTTCTTCGTAACGCCTCTCTGTCGAGAGAGAGAGAGAGAGAGAGAGAGAGAGAGAAACTCCGCAAGTTGTGTGCACATCAACGACGTTACACGTCGTCTTAATTAAGCCCAATGGATCGTTACATGTTCCGCGTTGTCAGTTTCAGACACGGCCCTAGCCTCGGTCAATCCCGACGTGCGCTTCATTCACAGAGACATGGAGGGGGGGGGGGCACTTGGGATTGTTCACGCTGAAATTGAGTTCTGCAGAAAGAAAAGAGATTGTAAATTGGCTCTTAATTAATTTTCACTCATTCTACATAATTCACCGATGTATCCTGTGTAATACAAACGCGAAATTTGGATATTATATAAATTAGTTAATTGATTATATAGCGTGTTCCTTAAATACACAGCCGTACTCGAGGAAGCGATTCTTTAGTTTATTTCAAGACACATGTTTGTATGAGCCTTTTTTTTACTTGGAACAAACCGAAGAATCGCCTCCTTGGATATGACTGGGTATTTGAGGAACATCCTGTATAAAGTGCGCAACCTAAGCTTCGGAATCCTCGGCGGAGATGCAATTTCCTCACGCGCTGCCTCTCCTTCCTGTGTTTTTATTTTATGCTGCTCTTGTTTGCCAGGCCTTGTGGTGTCTTCTTATTTATTTAAAGCGCACGAGGAATCGGGTTATCGCGGCGGATAGAAAACGAACACGGACGTGTACACGTTCGAATATGTTAATAAATTCAAAACGACCGGCGAAAGGTACCTACCTACTAATCGCGCACCTTCACGCGGATTTGTGATATCCACGCGTATCTATGTTAATCTGATCGCGCTAATCCGACGGATCGTCCGATCGCGCCGACTTATCGCGCGTATCACCTTCGGGCGCTTCCCTCTCTCTCTCTCTCTCGCTCGTTTGCGTCGGCTCACCCGACGGGTTCTCGGCGGCCGGCGCGGATAAAAATTGAATATCAAACCGAGAGGATCCGCGCGCGCGATAAATTATTGCGCGTATTACTGTTCACGACTGACACCCAATTAAATCCCATTAAACCGAACGCGCCCGGCACAAAGAAACGTAACGCGGATGTCATTAGCCACTTTGCTGCCGCCGCCACGATCAAACAGAGCTTTTTTAGATTTTGCGCGAACCTGCGCGTCGCGCGTTTAATCGAATGAAACACATTGCGGCGGAGCGCTTCGTCGAGGGGGCCCCGCCGAATTAGCTCGCGGCGAAGTCCGGGGTCTCATAAAGCTTCGAAAAAGCCTGCCTTTGTCGGAATTCAATGGAATGCGGCTGTTTTAAACAGCCCTCCAACTCTGCCGATCTTTCCCTATTAAATTTAATGGGCTTTATTCGCGCGTTGCGAAAACTACATGTGTCACATGCACGAACGCGGAACACGTATGCGCGCGGATCTGCCTTCTTCCCCTTTTCTCTCTCTCTCTCTCTCTCTCTCTCTTTCTTTCTCTTTCCATTTCTCCTTGTTTCTCTGAAAGATGGAGAAAAAATATCACGATTCGAAGAACGAGAAATCGCCGCTCTTGGATGATCCTGCACAACGACGCGCGACACGGTTGGACGCGGTAAACGTCTGTCAGTAAATAGGAGAGCGCGTAGTATGCAAGAAATGTCGATGACGCGTAAAGAATCGAAGCGATTCCTCCGACGCCAGCAGTCTCTCGCCCGATAAACGCTCTTAACTGGGCGATAAACGAGTCGTTTTATCGTGACTGCACTCTTGATGGACGGAATAAAAAAAAAGGAGGAGGAGGACGGGCACGCGTCTCGCGCGCGGAGTGCAGCAGCTTCGACCGAAGCACCCATGTTACTCGGATACTGATAGAGCACGGGACGCGAAACGCTATCTATTCCTCCCGATGCACTCTTGCGTTTAATCCTTTGAGGCCTGATGTACATAGTAATGTATTAACTTTCCTCAAATCTTGTCTGTCGGTGAAGCAATGGTTCCGTCGATGTAATGTTACTTTCCGACCGTGTCGCGCGTCGTCGTGCAGGATCATCCACGATTCATCCGAAATTAATTTTTCTGTACTCTCCGTCTTGACTCGTGAAATAGTGTCTTTCCAATTAAAAATGACTACATGCAATCGCATGTAGAGCAAAGTCGTCGATGCTTGGGTTTACATAAATTGATGTTTTTCGATTGTTTATTCCTTTCCGAAAAAAAGGTGTGAAACCTTTGAACTCGAATGTACCGGAGTATTTGAAGCCTCTTTTTCCGCGTTGTTGGTCGGTTGTCCCGAAATCTCGACACGAGTCATTGCTTACTTCGATTCGTGGCTATCAACGCGAGATTACGCGTTTTTTGACAGTAACAGGTATTTTTTTCGCCAACAAATCTTAGTCTGGCGTATATTTAGTTATAACTGAATTTTTGAGTAATATAGCTCTATGGCGCGCGTTTCGTGTTACGTCGTGTTATAAACAAACGAAAGATAAATATTTTTTAAATAAAACAATTTTAATACCTCCTCATTTTTATACCTCAAACACTCGATATATATAAATGTGTACATTCAGAAGATCTCGACGGTCAATTTTACTCGAACAAAAAAATGCTCATCGTCATTCTTTAAGACGATCTTATAAATTACAACGTTTTCCTCCAATATGACCGCTGTGCGGGCCTTAAAGGGTTAAAGATGCGTACAAAAGCTAGCGAACGAATAATGTATTCACGTTCAAACGCGCATGAACTTTCTTCGAAACCATTCGAAAAGCCGCCTTACGAGCAAATCGGCCCGAAATGTGCCGTTCAACTCTGTCGCATTTTCTAAAACGTAACACCGCAAATTCGCGAAAATTCGTTCGTTGTTCCTTCGCCAAGTGTACGCGCGCACCTTAACGCAACTTATTAGAATGGCGTCAACCATCAATCGGCGGCTGTTTTCGCGTCCAATCCTCAGCACCGTAACACGTGATATATTTTGTTATTTGTCATATTGTGGTTGAAAGAAGCGAAAAGAGATCTCGCGGCTCGTAAGATAAACCGTGACGGAGCGCGGCGACATTCAGAGGTGAGGCGAGGAGGAGCGCGCGCGCGCGTTGTACGTTCGCAGTGACGTTTAGGTGTACTCTGTGGGAACGCGGCGTGCACGACAGAAAAATGCGTCTGTCTCGCCGTTAGCCTCGTCGTCCGGCTGCGTGCGTCATTCCGTGTGTGCGTGCATACGCGAGTCGGCGGCGCGCGCGTAGAGCGAGATAGAGTGCGAGATAGAGACGGGAGAGGAGGAGAAAAGCTGGCGGTGGTGGCGGTGGAGGAAGAGGAGGGAAGCGCGAGATGAGGAAAGATTCTAAGCGTATGCAGGTAGTAGACAGACGCGTGCGTACGCTTGTGTACCTAATCGACTTCAGGCACGCACGCACGCACGCAGCAAGCTTGCTTTCTCTCTCTCTCTCCCTCTCTTTCTTTCTTTCTTCCTTTCTTTCCTCCTTGTTCCTTCTCGCTCATATACGTTTCCTTCGAAGAAACGGTCACGTTTGTTCGAAAAGCCAGTGTTGTGTTGCCACTACGGCCGATACGGCGCGCGCGAGACCTCGCTCGGTCTCACCTTCGCGAAACAAACATCGGCTGACACAGTTTTCTCGGCGGCGAGGCGACCGGCGGCGGCGCGACACCGCACGTTGTTGCGCCTTCCTCGCGCGACAAGTCTCCGAGGCGAAAGGAATGTTACGCGAGCGAGAGAGAGAGAGAGAGAGAGAGAGAAAGAACGATCACACCGTTCTCGCACGCGCCTTCTCCTCCTCTTCCTTCTCTCTTCTTTTTCCTCCGCTTGTTCCTCCCGCGCTCGCGAGAAGGGTCGGGAGGAAGGAGGCGGGAAGCGCCGCGATTTCCTCGGAATTTTCGTCGAGCTGCGCTGCCGTGGGTTCTACCTCGATAAACACAGCTCGACTACATAACGAGAGAATGAAATGTCCCTCTCGCCTTGTGCGAAGACACGAGAATCCGCGCGATGTTACACGCAGGAACGAGAGAAAGATCGAGCCAAAGAGAGAGAGAAAAGAAACGACGGGACACGGCGTGTCTGCCTGCCCGTGTGTTCTCGCCCTCTCTTCGCTCTCCTCTCGCGGTCACTCCTCGTCCTCCTCCCCTCCTCGTTCCTCCCACTCGTTGCTCTCTCTCTCTCTCTCTCACAGCTTACGCATCACACAGACAGAGACACGCTCGCTCGCTTCGCTCTTTTCCTCTCCGTCTCGCGTACGGTGTACGGCGTACCGTAAGACAGTTCGGAGGTCTGACGTGAATCAGGCATGACATTGGCTACGACAAAACAAACCTCAAATCTCACTGACGTGCGGATAGATACCCGCGTAGTCACACGCACACCCGACAGAAAAAGAGAGAGACATACAGGGAGAGGGGGGGTAGTCTGGCAATACACAACAGCAGCAGCGCGCGCGAGAGAGCGACTACGACGAGACGACGTCGACGATGGCGCGAGCACTGGCCGCGCGAAATATAGGTTAACGTTCGGAGGCGACGTTGATGAGAGCGGGTGGTCGCGCTCCCGCGGTCGGTCCCTCGCGTCGTCGTGACGTGACGTATCTCTCTCTCTCTCTCTTTAGCGCGCGCGCGCGCGCGACGATGCCGGCGAGAGAGAGCGGGGCCCGTTGTCGTCCCGTTTTCGCTCGCGAACTCGTCTCTCCCCCTGCCGTTCGCGGACGTCGCGACGTCGACGTTCCCTCGGTCGGGTCGCTCGCCGGCGGACGGGCCGGGACGATCCGTCGCCGTCTCACGGGGGCCATCCCGGCCGCGAATCGAACGACGACGATCACTCACCAGTGCGAAGAAATTCGTGTGGCAGTCCTCCAGGCTGGCGCCGTTGGTTTGATGCGACGGATGCGTCATGGCTTCTCCATCGTACGCCGCGCACGCATTAGTCTACACACACACGCGCGCGTCCGGCGAGAGGTCGTGCCTTCGACGTCGAGAGATCCCGGCGGGGGCGATCGCACTCGCGAGAAATCCGCGGCTACGGCGGCGAGCCGCGCTTCAATCACACGACTCGTGCATTTAGGAGGGTTTTCACTTCTCAATGGCGACCGTAAAATGGCGGCGGGCGGCGATGGGAAACAACAAGCGCAGCCGCCGGGCGCGCCCTCTAACGCTTACTGCCGCAGTTCCAGTTCCCCTCGACGGCTATCGCCGCCACCGCCGCCGCTGCTGTTACCGTTGCTATTGCTTCTATTGCTGTGGTTGCCGCCACTACCACCACTACTACTATTATTGACAACACCGTGTCAGCGGGACGACGACGACGAGTGTGAAGAAGATGGCGGCGCTCATCAGGCATGGCTTGTTCGCCAACGCTCTCAAGAGTACCTCGATTATCGTGCGCACCGCCTGTAACAAGGTCAGTGAATCACTCTCCCGACTCTCGCAGCACGCACGCACGCACAGAACACCGAATGCACGCCACTATTCGCGCGAGGCCCGCAGCACCACGTCACACGCCGCGCGGCGACGACGATCGCAATAATGACGACGACGACGACCGAGACAGCGGTTCCGTCGCCGCGGCGGCGGCGGACTCGACACGAGCGCGGCGACCAGTCGACACGCGCGCCACCGACATTAACGAGATCGTCATTTTTCCAGGCGAAGGAGTTCCCCCGCACCAGGAAGCTGGTACACGTGCGGGCGAGGATCAACTCCGTCGGGGCGTCTTTGGGCGCACGCGGGTAAGCACATTCGGCTCGCGCGATCTACGACGAGCGTCGCCGGCGAACGCTGAAACTCGTGTTCTAACGTTGCCGCTGCCTGACTGACTGAGGCTACACCGCGGCCATATTGCCGTCTGTCACCGCTACCGCCGCGCCTCGGCCAATCGCCCGGCGGATCTGACAGGTCCTCAGTGCCGTGCCATTGCCCTCGTTCCCGAAAATTCGCGAAGAATGTCGCGCACGGTATCTCGCGAACGTCGAACGCACGCTTCTTTTCGCACGGTCCGACCCCACTCGGTGTTGAATGCGCGACATTTACCGCGCACAGGTTGTACTCATGATAATCCGGGAAACTAAAGTCGCTGCAAAATTTAACGTTCCTATGATATTTCACACATTTTTCGAGAATAAAGGCTCAGTTTCGCGTACACACACAAGGTTTGTTCGTTTTCGCTGCACCACTGAACTAGCGCAATAAGTTGAAGCGAGACAAGTACATGTTTACTCACTTAAACTTATTACACTAGTTCAGCGGTGCAGCGAAAACGAACAGACTTACAGTCACCGACTCGGAAAAAGTGCAGGCACTTTTTCCCATGGAGTTCAGCCTGCATCCGATATGCGCGCAACGAGTTTTTCCTGTTCTGAAAAAAAAAAAAGAATGGGAAATGTGCCTTTCCCCATTTTGGACGTGTCGGGAAATTCGTCGAGAAAATTCCTCTCCGCCTTGAAGTGCAGGCAAGGGCGTTTGGCGACCGTTGCGAATGCGCCGGCACTGGCCAACACCGATCGTAACATTCTCGAGAGAGAGCACGCGCGATGGCAGCACCGTACAATCAGTGGACATCGATCTCCTCTCCCCCCTCCTACCCCTTTCTCTCGGCGCTGCGTCCCCGCGCGGCCTCTCGTGCGCGCGTCACGTCGGATATCGTCGCGAAAGAGCAATCTTTTCGCGGCTGCGAAAAGTTTTGCGCGAGTTTCGCCGTGACGGCCTCTGCCGTGGGAAGATGACGTTTAACAACTCGAGTAAGCGGAGTCGCGACGAGGCGCGTTCGTCGCGGCGAAACGCGACGGATAATAAAGACATTTCTCCCGATCCTTCTTCTACCGCCCTCTCTCCCCGTCTCCTCATTTTTCTTTCGGCAAATATTAAATCGATGAGCTCATCTCGAGACTGTCTTGAGAATCCGTATTTTTGGGAAATTCAATGTCAAGGAAGAAGGTGGTGTCGTGGCTCGCCTTTGTATTTTGTACAATTTTGTTAATAATCGATATTTTTAATCGAAACTGTAACGATCACTTTCGTCAATGTTTCAAAAGATCGATTCAATGTTTCTTGCTTATTGGGAGGACCATAATATCACCTTTTCCTCTATGTGTCATGAAAACTATACACATATTTGTGGTCCTCGTTTTTGCTCGATACAAGTATGTCCACAGTTTGAAAACATGCTCTGCGATTTCGTTGCAAAGTTCATAAAATTCGCGATAACTTATATCTTGCCGATGTAAATAAAATAATCACACACGGGACGATTGCTTTTTGACAGTTACTTTAGATTGGGCAATCGAGATTTTCTCCCCACCCTCGGTATTATAAAGATTTAAAACAGGATTGATAGGACACGAAAACGAAATATCGTGCGATATATCGTGTGTGAATGTTTTTCAGATTTCTGAGGCAACAAAAGTCTTACGAACCGCCCAAAGACGCGTCCGAGAGATTCGATAAGCTCTGCGAGAGCCAAGCGATCTCTTTGGACGACAATGTGAAATTAGAAGATCCCAATATGCGTTTTAAACTTTTCGTCGCCTGCGAGGAGGAATTTCAACATAACGTGCCAAATTCGCAGCTTTACACCATCGAGAATATCGGTTAGCGAACACTTTCGTTACTCTTTCGTGCTTTGCGCTCCAACCAAGATTAATAACGATTGAATAATGCCCGAGTGTCGCATAAATTTCGCAGGGGACTTGAGACAATTTTATCTGACACCGGTTGACTCCGCGACACCGTACGAGGCGTTGGGTAGGATGAAGTTGCCTGAGAATCTATATGTTCAAAAAGAGTATCATCGGTTCCATCCAGGTGAGACGTCTTCTATACGTATAATTTTTTTCTTTTTTTCATTTTTCCATTTCTTTTCATAAAACACTTTGTGCAACATTTCAGCCTATCAATCGATTGTGTATGTTAGGTTGTGATTTTTTCATTAATATTTCTCTAACATATCGCAAAACGTTCTTAGAGATAAACTAATCGGCATGCTTCCTAGAGGTAACTTTCACCAACTTTCGGTTGATTAATAATCAGTGATTAGCTCAACGGAATTGATAAATTGGCCAATTAGCTGAACTGATCAATACGATTGGTCAATTCCGTTGAGTTGATATTCCGATGGTAAAAACAGATATAAATCGTAAATGTTTCGTGACTGGGCACGTATTATGGACTCGTACGGAATTGATTCCGATATCGGAAACGATCAATTTTCTATAAAATACAAGGGAAAATCTAGGCAATAAACTGAAAGTTCCGATCGATTCCGAACAAGTCCATGATACGCGCTCTGGTTTCGATTACATCGTCTCTGTAAGTTAAATGTATTATTTATTTTTTATATTGTAAGAAAGAAAAGAAAGAATTATTATACTTTCTCGTTCATTTAACAGAATAATAACAATGACAATTCGTATCGTCCATTATTATTATCGTCATTTATTATCAATATTATTGTATTGTCTCGTGACGATCATAAACGCTGTCGCATTTTCCCCGATAGATACCGACACAATGTTCAACGGCAAGACCGCCTTCCCGAAGAGCTCGACCATCGTGACCGGTCTCAAGTACAAGAAGAAATACCCCGGACACCAGCAAGAGAATCCATGGTTGGACGAAATGTTGAAAATTTAACATGCTGAAAGCTTTAACTTTCATATGTATCATTAATAAACTAAACGTCGACTAAACCGACAAAACTAGGAATGTCACGAGTTGATGAATTTCTTACACGACACGAATTGCATGTGCGGTGCGAAATCGGAAGCGTGATTTCATCGATCCCCTTGCGAAAATACGGGGCGATATTTCTGATCGCCGTTCGCGCATCGACGGCTTCCGTGGAAATTAACAGTCGCGGCGCATCGCCGTAATTGAGCAGCTTATTTCCCTTGAGGGCGTTCTGAGCGCGCGTATTTTTAAGAAAACCGGACATTATGGCCCCTATTCTCAGCTCACTCTTGCCGATGAAAGCGCCTTGAGTGTGACCTCTCAGCCAATCGGGAGGTTTCTAAGCCACTTTAGAGGCGCTTATCAATAAGTGAGTTGAGAATATTGAGACCCACGTGGACGTAATTTCACGTGATCCCCGTTATTTCCCTCTTTCCCTCGATCGCATTCTGATATTTAAAAATCAGTATTGAGAATCTACAGTAGAACGCGAGCCCCGGTCTACAATAGTTGCTTTGAGCCTCAAGAAATTGACCGATTACAGTCGAATTATAGAAGAATAATCAATTGTGATTGATCAATTTCTTAAGGCTCACAGCTTAAATTCTCATTGTACGTCCCGCTTAACGTAAACTGTAGAGTTTTCAGTGACAGGCGGTGAATATCGGGACGCGCAGAACTCGCTCGAGCCGACGAAGTTCACGAATTCGCGTCGCGGGAGGGCCACGTACGCGCGCGCGGTCGCGTGCACGGCTGCGACCTGTGGCATGTGCGGCACCGTAACTTCGGCCCGATCGACCCGTCGGGCCACGCTCGTAGCAACGTGTTGATGATGCGGTATCGACGGGAGACCGAACAAACGGAGCGCGATTTGTTTGCGGAGAATGAGAGGGAGGTAGAGAGAGAAAACGAGTGCCGCAGCAGCGACGGTGCAGTGATTGTTTCAACTCCGCGAAAACGGTCCCGTCCGCCCGTAGCGAAACGGCTGAAAAATACATCGTTTGATAAAGCGCTGAAATAATAATCGGGACGCGATGCCGGGGATTGCGAGCGCGACCGGCCTCATGTCGGCGCGAATTCGACCGGTTCACCGGCCGAAGCCGAAGGTAATATAGTAATCACGCTGCGCGAACGAATCGCGTGTACTGTACATACGTACGTGTGCGTGCAAGCGAGCGAGCGATTCCCCGTTCGTCTCTCTCTCTCTACTCTCTTCATTTATTAAGAGATCACGTATGCGTTCACGTAGAGCGTGCAATTGTCGGGCTGCACGAAAGCGGCGCCGTTCGCTCTTCGACCGTTCGCCGGCCTCTTCAATCCATATCCCTACGGCTGCTCGGTGCTGTGCAACCACCCGGCGGATTGCGAAGCGAAGGAGGTGGTGCGACGCGCCAAAGACACATGGGTAAGAGAAGGAGGAAGGGGATAGGGATGTTATGATACTACCGATATAACGCTGGTATCAATATTTCTCTTTCAATACCGCATATTTTCGCACCGATATTCCCCTTCGATATTTTCGCCCGCATCAGCGCTGTTCTTTTTCAGACTATGTTCCGGCTCGTATCGATATTTGGCAATGTCGATACGCGGTTATTTGGTGTCCGGTATTCTGATATATCGGCGAGTTTGAGTTTTAAATATCGTGGCGTGTCGGTTAGAGACCTAGATATCAGTTGATTCGTTACAAATCAAAAGACAGTTTGACTGTGTTCCGTTGTTGGATGATATATTCGTAAATATACCCTTATTTCAAGGCGGTCTCAAATATTACTGATACTGGTATCACTAATGATATCGATACTCTTGATTTGATATCCGTTTCAATGAAATTAGTGTCGATACTTTCATGGTATCACAAGATCCCTAGGAGAAAGAAAAAGATATACTAACGATGTACACCAATGATATCGATATTCTTAATTAGACACCCATTCCAATATTAGTATCGATTTCACGGTATCACATCTTCAGAAGAGAGAAAGAGAGAACAAGATATACATTTAACGCTTGCGAGTGTCGGTGTATAAATTTTAAAGGCCGCGTACTTTTTCCTAATTAGGCGACCGAAGGAAAAGCGCTCTTGCTGCCGGAGGAGATGGAGATGATACGGACGAGTTTGATGGCGGGCGGCGGCGGGGGTGGCGGTGAGGTGGCTGGAAATGTCGGAGGTGGCGATGGCTGCAATACCGAGGCGACTGCCGTGCCCGAGGAGCTCTTCCGGAAATACACGGAGACCGACTCGCGACCTCCGACCCCGGCGCCCACGCTCGCCAGTGGGCCGGCGTTGACCAATCGCGCGGCGACCCAGGAAGATTTACCGGCGACCTGTAATCCGCGCGAACGCACCACCCTGGTCCTCGATCTTCGCGCCGCGAATTCGCGCCACCACCAAGTGGTCGGTAGACTAATGTTGCTAGTAGCTCTCTGAGGGTAGGCCGATTGCAAACGCACACCCGATCCGCTGCGATCTACTGCGAGGTCTTAAGGATCGTCTATGATAATCGTATAAAGTAAGACGTAAGCAGTAAGCTAATTGACCAACCACAGTCGATTGATTTTTGGAATGTATGAACCCAGTTGATCATCCGGGAAAAAATGATTATGTGTGCTTTTTTCTCGGGCAATTAGTTTACTGTTCACGCCTTACTGCATACTTTACAGCTATCGTAGACGACCTTTTATGGGGATCCTGGAGTCGTTCTGTTTTACCGCAAATTTGTTGGCACTACACTCGTTATACCGGTTGCACGGAATTAAAAATCCTTTCGCACAATTACAATGCAATACGTTAATGTACGGCTTTCAGGAGAGCGAGACCTTCAGCTGGCACGCACTTACGCTCGAGCCGCCGCCGACGCCCCGGAAGAGCGAGATATTCGTCAGTAAGCCGATCCCGCGGCATTTGTCGTTGGCACCGGCGCCGCCGCCTCCGTCGCCTCCCTCGCCGATCGCCGAAAGATGCGAAACGGTGAGTTCGTTTACCTCCCGCCGTGTTCTCGCCGAGAACATCGTTCTTCGTCCTTCGTGAAGTAACGTTGCCGCTGCCTGTGAATAAGAGTTCGTCCAGGGACGACGAGGGAGCGAGGGAGGAGGCCGACAGCGGCAGCGAGCGGCCCGTAATTATTCGGCGGCGGGGAAAGCGGTTGCGTAAAAGAAAGTGCAGGAGGGGCTCGACGTACGGCCAACAAACGGAAGTTCGCGATCCGCTCGAGCCGACAGTGACGCAGGTCTCGCAAATCGGAGACGGATCGAGACGACCATCGTCAGTATCCATCGAAACGCGTCGTGTAGACTCAGACCAAGCACTCGTATATTTCTGCTGCAGCAGCGAGCGAGGATGCCGGAAGTTGGCAGTTTGAAACAGAGCGAGAGAAGTCGCTTTGATTCAGCTGCTTTCTCATTCTGTCTTGGTACGATCGTCAAGATCCCAATTAGTCGGCGAAATACGTGACATAATTGCATGCGTATAATATTAATTAAGTAAATATCACGAGCGAGAAAGCAATCGAATCAAAATAACTTTTCACTCTGTCTCAAACTGCCAATTTCCGGCTTCACCCTGCGGACAGGACGCATGTCTGTGCATGTATGTTAGAGATCCATCACACAGATATATATACGTTTGCAATTGTACCAACGATATCGGCGAAAAGCGTTGCAACGGTCTTCTCGATCGAATAATAGCTCGCCAGTATTGTCTTATCTCGACAGTAGCATGTCTCGTGACGATCAGTGATAATTCTGATACGAGCGTGGTTCGCACGTTTATTTTACATTCATACTTAAGGCTCGGTTATCTCCGGCAGCCATATTGATTATAGATGAGAAATGATATACAGTAAATATCTTGCGGCATATCTAGCTTCACCTTTTAGTTTTCCCTGAAGAAACGTAATAGTTTTATTATCCGCCCAGCACAAAATCTAAAACTGAGATATAAGACATCTTTAAGACGTCCTATAGACGTCTTATGTCCCGGTTTTAAGTTTTGCGCTGTTCGGGTGGAAACCTGTAAAATATGCCGCAAACTGACACGTTTGTCCGACGTGTCACGTTGAATCAAAAAAATATAATTCGTGAAATAACGGTGCATTTTTCAGCCATACTCAGGCGTGACAGCTGATAATAGCTGAAAAACGCGCCGTTATTTCACGAATAATATTTTGCGATTCTACGTGACATCAGATTTCGACCGCGTATTTTGTAGATTTCAGAATTGCGAAACTACTGTATTTCTCAGGGAAAAGTAGAAGATCAAGCTACATGTTGCAAGAAATTTACCGCGTGTTGCATTATTACATATATTATGTCTCGCCTCTCACGTCATGCAACCAATATGGTGCCGGAGATAACCGACTTAAGTAGCACAGTGGCGACGTCATACGAAACGTCATATTGAACGTCAGAGAACGTCGTATCTACGTCCTACAACGTCGCTGTGTTACCTGACTGGGAAGCTTTATTACCCTCATTTCTAGCAATTGGGAATCGAGAATCTCCGGGGAACAGTAGGAAGATGCGAATAATTTGCCTGCGAAAAAGTTTCCAGTTACAGCGCTTTTCACCGGTGCTGCCGCCTATCCGTACCACCGAGTGAAAAGTTCGATTGATCGCGAGGAACTTTTTCGCAAAATTCTGACAGGCTTCGTACAGCAAATGCGGCCGAAACCGGCGATGGCGCGGCCCCCAAAAAATCGCCGGCGCCAGTCGCGAGTTCTCACACGATGCCTCCGAGTTTCCTCGCGGCCGACATTCTGAAGCACCTGTGCAGAGAGCTGGACCGCGACAAGGTGGAGGCGGAATTCTCGATCAAAGTGAGCGAAAACTCGAATCGAACATTTTGACGGAAGGGGGGTGGAGATTCCTTTCTTCTGACGTGGGATAACTCGACTGTCTCAGAGGCGGATCGCCCTGGAGGAGGCACTGAGGGTGAAAGGCGACGTTTCGTATTCGCGCGGATCTCGCCTGACCAGTGCCGGCCTGTCAGCGCAAAACGCACCCCGAATATTCTCCCGTCAAGTGGCGCGTTTCGAGTTACTCGGCGGTCAGAGTCTCTGCGGTACGTATGAATATTTTCAGTCACGTTTCTCGCTCACTCGATGTTCGGAAACGCTTACGCGGGGAGTCGCGATTAAGCGAAGACGGAATTCTCGATCAAGGCGAGCGCGGATCCAACCCCTTCGTACCCCGGAGAAATCGGTCACGAGTGAAATTCGCGTTAGTGTCGTTATTAGGGTCCCCGAGGTCACTGAATGCAAATCTGACATTAAATTGGTATAATTCGAAAATGCCGAGTCTAATATGGCGGACGCAAAGGACAAAATTTCGTCAATTTTTCGATGTACGTTGCTTATGTAGAGCATCGTCGAAGTTGCTGATTACACGAATGTGAAGTTGAAGTAATTAAATTTAAAATGGCGAACTTTCAGTATAACGGAGGTCGGTGATTACGAATCTGAAGTTATTGATATAAAACTGAGTCCGAGGGAACCAAGTATTGCGTCTCGAAAATATGTAATAAAGAATCCATTCTGGCATATATAGACAAAGCACACTGAAGATAAAATTACTAAACCCCGCCATATTGGATCTGTTATTTTGGCGGGGGCACGAAAGGGTGAAGTGTGCTGGACAATTTGCTCGTTTCACGGAAGACCGTCGAAAGATGACACGTCGTCAGGAATTGCGGATCGTTGCAGGACTGACGCCTCTGCGGTACCTCAGCAAGCACGTGTGCGTGACGTCAGGTAGGAAGCTGATATTCGGCCGGATATTTGCAAGATTCAACGAGGAAACGTCGCAGGAAGAACGGCGTGTCTCGCCGAACGATGTCGAAGAGGCCCTTCAGGAAGTGGTCGGGAAGGCGTTGACGGACGAGCAACGGTCTTATCTTAGGACCGTGCTAGGAGAGATAACGGAGTCGTTGAACTTCAGGGAGTGGTGCGGTTTATGCGCCGTCGTCGAGAGGCTGCTGTGTCCTCTGCCGCCGAAGGCGAGCGACCCGCCCACGTGGCTCGAGCAAGCGGACTTCGAAGCTCTGGAACGGAGACTCAGGTCAGCCGGGTCAGTCGACTCTACGTTGGCGTTATTGTTGAAGGAGATTCGTGACAGATAAAATGACGGGAATCTCTTATGCATTATCCTTTTTTTTTTCTTTATCACAGTGATCGCTAGCTTTATAATGTATCGTAAGTCTCGCGACGCGTTTAGTAGTTATGATTATTGTTTAATGCGTATAAGCCTAAAATAAAACTTCTTCGCGGTTCTACAAATGAACCCTATATATATATTTTTTCCCCTTTTATATATATATATATATATATATGTATATTTCGACGTTTTGCACAGCGGTTGTACGATAGAGTTTGATATTCCAAGCGAAGACATATACAAAAGTATGAGCGTCACTTCGTTCATAATAATAAGATTACGAATTATGATGACTCTATTACCAGATATACCTACTTTTACCTTGCCCGTTAATACGCGTTAATTATTACGTCGAAATGAAACCGTCCACAAGTGCATCTCGTTCCTCTCTCTCTCTCTCTCTCTTTCTCTCTCTCTTTATTTTCAGTATAAAAAATGGACCGTAGTTCTCAATTTCCTCTCTCGTCTCGACACTGATATGTAATTCACTCTCTCGTAGAACTCTGTAATATAGGTCGAACGTTAATTAATCTCATGTACGTCGGCGTTGTCTCGCGCGACGCGCGTTGAGGCAAGGATTACGATCCGTCCGCAAACGCAATGAACGAATACTTACTCGTCCATTTTTAGCGGTCTATTCGACAACACGAGATGCGGGACGAAAGAAAGCCTCCTCAATCTACGTTCATCGCACATTTTATTGCCGGAGCGGATTCGCGTCCACATCCACTCGAGCGTACACACATTGGCGTCGGTACTCGATCCACTTGTTTCATTCCTTCTTTTTTTCTTTCTTTTTTTTTGGCTAATATACAAACGAGTTCTCTGGTTCGTGCTCTCTTCCTTTCTTTCTTTCTCTCTCTCCCTCTCACTCTCTCCCTTTCACTCTCTTCCATTCTCTCATTTAACAACATAATAAATAATGGATCACTTTTGTAATGTCGATAGGGATAATATAAAACCGGTTCGTGTACATGTGTGCATGTGTATGTGTGTGTGTGTGTCAGTAAATAAATTAAGTAAATGAGAGCGGTACATTCGCCTGCGCAACGGCAACTCGCACACGCTTCTCCCGGGCGAGTCTGCTCGCGAACTTGCACGATAATCAATTGCAATAGGAGCCGAAGTGACGGCATACGAGACACACATCCGACGTCACGGGTGCAGCAGAGGATTCGAGAAAAACGCAAGTATATTTTTATCTCAGGTGAAACCTGAGATAAGAGTATAATGAAAGGAGGCGGCGCTCTATTTACATCGTGTACTGTCATTCGCCCACCGTCACAACGATTACCGATTACACACGCGAGAGCCCAGGAGTAGCCCTCGCAATCGTCCGACCGTCCGACGCGTTCCCACCTCCGTCCGGAGGGAACGCGCGCGCGCGAAGAACCGTTGCGCGGTCGACGAGCGTACGGTCATGGACGGAAAGGCCGTCGCGACTTTCTTCTTCCGAAACGCGGCTCGAAACACGACGACCGATGATCGAGAACTTGTTTCTCGAGAAAACTCGTTCTCTCACTGGACACACCACCGTTCCGAGCTGCATTGAAACCGAGAAGAAGCTCGACGACTTTCCCGCCCCCGCCGCTGGCACACCCCATCTGCTGGGATCCACGCGGTGCTGGTACAACATCACCAGAATAATACGCTACCGGGTGTCTCACCGTGATGTGTTCACCGTGCCCATATTGAATTTTTGTCCGTCGCCCGATCACGTCGCCGGGCTTCTCTTCTCGGGGCTCGGTCGCTGCTAGTCGCTACGTCAAATTGCACATACAGCTAACGTACAAATATAACGATGCCTACGCGCGGGCAGCCGCGCCAGTGACCAGAAGAGCCGCGGGTTGGATGTGTGTTCCTGTGTGTACGTGTGTGTGTGTGTGTGTGTGTGAGAGAATGTGTATATGTTGTTTGCGTGGGCACACGCTCGTTCGCGCGCGCCTACCTGCTCGTGGCCCTGGGAACGTACATGTACGCACGATGTACGATACAACACTACTTGGCTAAAGTCTCTATGATACAGCGCAGCGCTATCCGCCGTACACACAACGGGACTTCCTCCACGGGACGTTTCTCACGCGTCTTCGAGTCTGTGCCAAGAGAGAGAGAGGGACCACCGTCATCCGCTTGCGCGTCGCTGAGCGGCGAGTCGATGCTGCTTCCTCCGCGGAAGGGGGCGGGAGAGGGGGAGTGTAGGGGGCGGGCCGCCTTGCCGCGTTTACGACGGAGAGATATTCGCCCTGCCTTCAAATGCTTCTCTCCCATCGTGCGCGCTGCTCTCCTCCGTTACACCCGTTTAGTATAAAAAAAGTTGTTGCTGTCGCTGCTGCGGGGCAGTGGGACTGGTGGAGTATGACGGTGCGTCGCACTTGACACCGACGATGGGCTAGTTGCCGTTCGTGGATCGCTGCGTCGCCGGGATCACGGGGTCCCGCTCAGTCCCGTAGATCTTGCCCGCTTTCCTCGCCATATTGCCGAGCATCTCCATTGAGCATTTGTGCGCCGATCTTAACGAGAGCGCCCATTCCTTCAAGCTTATCTCGTCCTACGATTGGCGAGGGGGAAGGGAGAAAGAGTTAATCGCGTGTTATCGTATTTAGCGTATTTTATAGGCAAGGTTAATCCTCGAATAACAAGATTCGTGCGTCACACTTAAGACAAGGTAGGTCGGATCCGACCGGTGGAAGCATTTTTTAGTTTTTCTTGAATTAATTTCTTCCACTAGACACCTTTCGTTCTCGTAATAAGTTGATAAATATTTATAAGTGAGTGAAATATATCGCGAAATGTATACAGAGTGTATATTTTCGGGAAGAATGTTCCATGTCAAAGTTGTGTTTCATGTGACGCATTACATAACAATATCAGTGTGACTTTGGACAGCGTTGTTAAAATCATATAAAAATTAACTTGAAATTTTTGAATAAAAACCTCTATTTTTGACTGTAGATTCTTGTAGCCGATCTCGAGAATTTTCAGAATACTATGATAAAGCTACTTTTCATTATATATATATATATATATGTTTATATACTTGTTATAAACTTTTTCTACTTGAAATAAACCAAAGAATCGCTCCCTTGAATATAGCTGGATACTTAAGGAACACCCTGTATATATACAATAATAATAATATACATAAGACATCTGAAACATAACGCGTGCGCGAAAACATTAAAATATAGATCCGGTCGGATCTGACCTGACCTTGTTGTGACGTTATGCGAGGGTTAATATCGCATAAACGACACGCAAGGTAGAATTAAACAGGTTCACTCACGGCGTTTGTAAGTACGATCTTCGCGTCTCTCGTACGTACTACGATGCACTGTTCGCCCTTCACGTGCTGGAGGTCCGCCCCGACTTCCTCGACCTGGGAAGAAGCACATTTTAATTCTCCTCTTTTTCGTCTCGCGTGATTGAGCGCGACCGACGGAAAAAAAACGCGCACTTGTTACGTCTCTCACCTGGTCGAGAAACACGAGCTCGGGCTTGGTCGCGGACTCCGGGTGTAACTCTAACCGATTCGGATAGAGTTTCGCGTAGCGCGTCTGCCATGTGCTCGCGAACGGGCCTCCTAATTTCCTTATGTAACCGTGCAATATACAATCCGAACCTGCAAGAAGCACGTAGTCATCGGCGTTTTGCATTGATACGCATACGAGTGACGTCTTAGAAGCGGAGTTATCTAACTAGGCGGACAAGCGCGTCTCTCTTTGCGTAAGAAAGAAAGAGAGAGAGAGAGAGAGAGAGAGAGAGAAAAAGAGAGAGGGAGAGGGAGGGAGGGAGAGAGAGGGGGGAGAGACATAGAACGAGCGCCCAGTTGGGCAGCTATTTTACAAGCGTCGGCGCACAATACTCTTTTCATCGCAGACACTTACCCTTTTCATCCGCGTCAAAGTGCTGCTTCTGCTTCGCCTTCTTCTTATTTTCCAGCTGCAACGCAACAGAAAAGATGACAGCGCGTTCACCGCGCGCGCGAGACGCGGTGTGACGAATATAAAAATACATTGGACATATACACAAGATGAATTATTAATCGCGCACCTTGTCGGCCTCGTTATTGATTGTCTCGAACACAGTCTCGGCCACTTCAGCCTGCCATCTCTCCGAGATGACCAGAGGAAAGTTTTTGTACAGATCCTGATCGGCGTCGGTCAGCTTGATGCCCTTGGTGTCCTCCTCGTCGAACGAGCCGATGTCGAAGGCGTCCGCAGCGTTTACTTCGCCGCGCGGCGGGATCAGGGGCGGCGTGTACTTCTGCAGGTACACCTGCTGCCAGTCGATGCCGCCGAAGAACGGGTGCTCCTTCAGCTCGTCCGCGCCGTTCCCGCGGCAGCCGAGCCGATTGTTGATGTCCCGTTGAAGCAGGCCCTCCAGTAGCGAACGCAATTCCCGAGAGAACGTCTCCGGCAGCTCCACGTTCTGCAAGACGGACACCAGTCAATTGATGGCGAGCCGAGAGAAGCGAGAGAGAGAAAGAGAGAAAGAGAGAGATCGAGTCGAGCACGGGAGTTTCCGCTCTTCTCAACGCACCATGGTCAACGTCATACGATCGATCTCGTGCTTGTCCTTGGTCTTGTGTTGCCTGAACGGGCTGTGTCCTTTCAGCAGCTTGTACAGCATACAGCCGAACGAGAACCAGTCCGCGCTCGAGTCGTACGCGGTGCCCTTCGAGAGCACCTCCGGCGCCATGTATCCGTGCGTGCCGCTGTTACGAAAATATTCTTAGAGAAAGATAGGCAGGCAGATGGTCAGATACATTTATTTCCGCTCCGGGGCACTGCCACCCCCCTTCCTCTTTCAAGAGCGCGATAAATAAGAGCTGCGATATTACAGCAACCGAAATCTCTTATCACTGCATTTATCACCGTAGAAAGATCCACGCCGATCTGTTATTCCTCAGCACGATACTTGGAGGCGCAATCGCACGCCCTGATATGTCAAACTTAATTACGTTCAATGTACTCAATCGGTCACTGAGAAAGTGTCAGCTTTGTTTACGTGGGAACGCATAGAAGCCATTATAGGAATATCCTGTTTATGTATAATGATAATAATAATATATGTGAAAAAGTGTCAACGTAATACCGCGGGAATGAAAAAAGTGAAAGAGCAAAGAAGCTTGTCATTGAGAACGGGCGGGAAAAAGAGAGGGGGGAAGGTCTGTATTAATAATCGCCGCTTGAAATTCGTCTCACGTGAGATGCTCGGATTCAAAGATTAGATCCGAGATCTCCACTCGAATTGCAGGATACGTCTGACGTTACGTCTGTGTAAACGCTATTCGACCACCCCCCCCCAAAAAAAATAAAAAAAACCTCACATCTAATTCCGAATTCAATCAATCCGAGTGTCTCGTCCGAAACAAGTTTCAAGTATCGACTATTAATACGGGCTTTCGAGAGCGTTGCGTCACACCGCGAGGATCGTCCCTCCCGCCGCTTCCTCGCGGGAGCGAGGAAGGCGCCGATCGCGACACACGCTACTCACACGCTCGCATGGGGCTTCTTCTTGGAGAAATCGCAGGCCAATCCGAGGTCCGATATCCTCACGTGGCCGTGCTCGTCCAGGAGTATGTTCGCCGGTTTCAGGTCGCGATAGACGATGTACCTGCGGTGCATGTGCTCGAGGCCTAATATCACCTCCGCGGCGTAGAACTTCATCTCCGGCTCGTTGAAGACCCCGTGCTGGCTCAGGTGGTAGTGCAGGTCGCCGCCGTTCATCAGGTCCAGTATGAAGCACAGCTTGTCGGCCGTGTGAAAGGCGTACGTCATGCACACTATGAACGGGCAGTCCATCTGCGGATCGTGATGAGTATCTCGTATTGTCGCGTGAAACTCCCAAGCCCACGTGCGCCCTTCGTTCGCGCGACTCAGGGTGGACCCACCACCACCATCACCACCACCACCACCGTCGCGCCACGAAGAAGTGAAGGGTAAACACACTCACCCCGGTGCTGACTAGCGAGAGCATTATCCTCTCGTTAAGCGCTAACGTTTCACCCTGCTTCATCTTGATGCGTTTCTTGTCCAGGCATTTCATGGCGTACATCTTGCCGGTGTCTGCTTTCCGGCAACCGTACACCTCGCCGAAGCCGCCCCTTCCTATTATCCGGTGCACGCTGAAGTCGCTCATCGTCAGCTGCAATTTCATCATCGATGCATGTGATAATTCGTGATCTCGGCCGGGGCTCTTATAACGTGTGAGGTTGCGAGCATAGAATGAGTTTCTCGACGATTCGTTTGGAACTTGCACGATGTGGATTTGAGTACGACCCGATTAGGAAGCGATTAGGAAACGATCGACCGTCCGGAAGCCGAGATACTTGCGACTGTACGTCACATTTTTTTTTACACGTGTTCCTTGAGCTTAATGTAAGAGTCCCTTCACAGGCATAAGGACAAATTCTCCCCCCCCCCTCCTCTCCATGCCAGTGAGCCCCTTAATATCGTCAGCCTGAATATCCAGCGTTCTGAGCGATACAACTACCTTAAAGTAACTCCTCTATGACGACTGATGGGAATACGTGATTTATACCTGAATATTCAGCTCGAGGTTCTTCCACTGACAGAATCGGGTGTACTTGTCGCTAGAAACATAGGAACATTTTTTTTTAGACACACAGACGTCACATCGACTCGCGCGTACTTCGGTGTAAATCGGCGCCGAATTACGCGTATCTTGCCGGTCGGTGTTTTGAACACCGTTATGTGTATACCTTTCCAAAAATTTCTTAAACGGCTCCCCTCGCAGGTGATTGAAAATTTCCTCAATGTACGGCTACAAATAGAAATACACTCTCTTTGATCCCCCGTCTTATCTCATCGCCGGCGCGTATAAGCGCACACGCTAAACGAAACTGCGAAATCGATCACCTACCTCGAACAGGTTGACTGGAACTTCGTTTTTCATTAGATATTTGTGCACATGTGACACCGCCTCCTGCGAGTATTCCTGCAAAAGACAGACGCGCCGCTTTGTATCTCGTTAATTACTCGTTACGTCGTTACGTCGTAGACGGCAATAGAGAATCTCTCTCTCTTTCTCTCTCTCTCTCTCTCTCTTTGTCGTCCTCCACGAGTATGATCGATGACCAAAATTGAGAAGCCTTCGTCACTCGAAGGAGAAACGAAAACGTTCGCGAGCGAAGGAGAGAAAAAAGAGAAGGAAAACGTCATCGCGTAACGTGTTGTAAAATTATCTCTGTCTCTCTTTAATTACTTTTAGAAACGAACTCTTCTCTTAGCTGCGTACACCGACCGACTACTAATTGATATCAGGCTTGATTGATGAATTTAACTATCTCACATGATATAATATATTTATATTCATACATATGTATTTCTTTCATCATTCAGTGCTTTCATCCAATCACCAGAACGAAAAGCTGAAATAGCGACAGTTTATTTTTTTAGCAGAAAAAGTGGGAAAAAGTGACTTTTTAGACATCAAAATAGTGACGAAAAGTGAGAGATTTGTTTTTTATCAAATTCTGAGAGGAACCAAGGCCGTTTGAGGAAAAAATAACACTCACTCTTATCTTCCCAGGTTTATCTTCAGATAACTTAACATATAACGAGTTCTTTTCATAGTACGGCTTGAAAGTTCATAAAAAGGGAAGGACACGAACACTGAGACAACGAACCGGTACCCAGATACATGAGAATATCTATTCTTGATTTAAGATTCATTTTTTCCGGATAGAGTGTCCATAAACGCTCTCTCTTTCTCTCTCTCTCTCTTTCTATCTCTCGCTCTATCTGCTTCCAAGATGACGAGTCGCTTTCGATCGCATGACGACGCAGCCGTCCTCGACTCAGACTCGTCTTCGACAAAGGGAAATTCCTCTTCCGTTCGGTCACCGTGCGCGCGGAAGGAAGAGCGGAACGTGCCGGCTTACTCACGTGAGAATGCGCCAGCAACTCCTTCATAATGTAGTTGTCGTAAATCTCCCTGGCGAGTTTTCTCCTGTCCTCCGGACACTCGAGCTTCTCGTACGCTTTGATCTACAATGCAGAAACGTAAAATTCCTTTATGGACTTGGCTCGGCGTCGGCGTACCGCGCGACTGCTACTACTCGGAACTTAACTAGTGTAGCGGGTTGTTAAAACACGAACCTCTTCGTAAAACCTAAGTTGCGGAATCGGATCCTCCGCTACAGTCTCGCAGAAGTCTTTGAATAAAAGGTAACCTGGAAGTACACACGTGGAGTTTGGCTTGAACATCGGGCGAACTTTTCAGTGATCAGTATCATCGTTTCGGCGCCGCGCGCGCTTTAGAGGCAACGACGACGACTACGACGTCGCCGCCGCGGTCGCTTTTACATTACTACGTTCTACTCTCTACCCGGAAAATAACAATCGGCAGACGATAAATATACATGCTTACGTTTATATATATTATATATATATATATATAAACGACACAGACACCCGTCCACGCAAATTGTCTGATAAAGGGTAACGCCTTTCCCAGGTCATCTCGCAATCAATTTGCGTGATTCCATAACGGTAAAATCGAACGTATTATTAGATCGCGTTAATCAGGACTAATTTGCGATAGGGAATGAAAATTCACTCTGTGCACGAATTAACGTTCTATAACGGAGTAAAACGGTGCCACGCGCGCGCACGCACAGCGACACAGGTTAAATACATTCAATTAGTGCGATTTATTAAACGCGATTCGATTACCTCTGTCGAATTATCTGACGCGGATGAACGCGCACGACACTCGCGAGCAGTGTTGGGATGTATTTAATTATATATAGATAATTATATATATATATATATATATATATATATATAGGTATGCATCTAGATACAAAATAAGTCATCTAATACCTATATTTGAATTATTCATCCAATAGAAAAAAATAGTCCGTCATCTGATATCTGTATCTAAGTGAAAGTACTATATCTATTATCTAATAAGATAATGTTATGAAGAAGTGAAAATTTATCATAATATACGAAGTACACACGGAATCATGCGTGTCAGACGTGTTATGAGCCATAACGAGGGTTGTTACATTTAAATCCGGACATTTTAAATAATAAAGAACAATATTAACGTTATCGTAAATTTTTCATTATTTTTCATTATATATTTTGTTCTCCATCAAATAAAGAGGCTAAACTTTTTTGTATATTTTATTTCCCCTAAGATACAAATAATTTTAATATTTGTTGTACATTGCCACAATCCTGATTACAAGCATAAAGAAAATGAGAAAAAGTAGAAACGGAAATTAAGCAATTTGTCGTTGATTGTTTAGATAACGTTAATATATCTAGATATAAGTAAAAATATATCTCGTCATACCTGAAGCTTATCCTATATCTAAAATATAAAAAATTCGTGGCTAAATAAAAATCCCTCTTTATCTAAGTATTTAAGAAAAATGTAAGTTTATTTTCTCATCTGCCTGGTTAATCTAGATGGTTAATCGTAATTGCACCTAATCTCATTTAGATATGAGAAACCTCATATCTTTCCCGACACTATTCGCAAGTATATCGGAGTTCTCGCGACTTGACGACGACGACGACGACAACGACGCCGGTGACGAGGAGGAGTCGCGAGAGAATTATTCCGCGTACAATAACGCAACCGCAGCTATGTTTGTCCTATGAATAATGCATGCACGCATCTTATATATTTGCGTCAATCGGAAAGAATATGCTAATATCGGGGAGAAGTGGCATCGCATATATTGTGACATTTTATTGAACACAAATAAAAAAAGAGAAGACGCGCTGGCTGCCGGAGTGGTACGACGCGTATTCTCGACGCCGCGCGCGCGCGCGCGCTCTCGATAATCGTGTTCTCTCGCGGAGTTTACGAACCGACGGAGATCCCACCGCGTACTACCATCCCGACTTCCCTCCTTCGTCTTCCCGAAGATCTCAAAGAGAAGTCAAAAAGGCCGCGAGAGAGTCGCGAGGCAAAGACTTATATAGTTTTAATCCTTTAATGGTAAGGTGGATTTTCAAAACGCCCGGACGTTTTTCAAAGTATTTTACTGCAATTATATTTAAAATCGGTTGATAAAACTTTATTGTATTTTTGTCATCTATAAATAAACGGAGGAAGAAGTTTCATGTTATTACTTTACCCATTCATTTTACATTATTTAAATGGAAAATGAACGAAACATGGGGTCGGATCCGACCCCGACCTTACCATCAGAGGCTTAAAGTTTCGAAGAAGAATTGCTTTTTTTCCCATTTTTCTGCGGACTTTTTCGGTTTCTTATCTTCTTCACGGAAGGAAGTAAACGTGGCAGATTTTCACCGTTGACACACGTGAATTTTTCTAAACGAATTTCCGAATTCCTTTGAGACAGAAACCGAAGAAATCCGTGGAAAAATTGGGAGAAAACGGTGATCCTCCGAAAGTGTTAAAACTACAACGAAGACGAAGTAGAAAAAGAAGACATAGGAGAAGACGAGGGGGTAGGGAGGGAGGAACGAATTTATAGGGATGCGTCCCTCGGCTTACTCACCTAACATTTGATTAAATATTTTGTCGAAGTTCACTTCGTTCTTCTTCTCCAGATACTTGTGCATCACGCTCCGCACGCTGAAACAGAAAACAGACCTCCGTCAGCAGTGCGTGCGTGCGTGCGTGCGTGCGTGCGTTGCGATCCGGCTTATCGAGAGAGCGTCGCGCGGGAGGAATATATTAGCGCGCTCGGCTCGGCACCGCAATTTGAAATTTCCATACGCCGCCGTATATCACCGCCAAATTGATCAATATGTAAAACGATGGAATTACAGCCGTTATAGCTCGCCCCGCGTTCGTATCGTCGTCGATAGCGATCCGCGCGCGCAAGATCGCGCTCCGTCGTCCGTCTCTCTTTCTCTCTCTCTCCCTCTCTCATCTTCTCTCTCGCAGCTGTGGCTCGGATAACAAAGCGCTCGCTTCGCGATACCGTTGACATAATAGCACGCGAATTATTCGACGGAATATACGGCGCGGTGCAGCAACACGCACCGGCTGCCGCCTCCTGGGTGTCTCCTCTCTTCAATTATCCAAATGACCCGCACAGGGTCGAAAAGTGCGTAAATGTGTACGTGTATGTGTGTGTGTGTGTGTGTGTGTAACGTCGAGTTTATCTGTTACTGTATCATCATCACGGAGGGAAGGGAAAAGTGAAATAGAAAGACGCGGAATTTTTAGCTGGAAAATTTCAGCTAAAAAGACCGCTCCCTTTTCCCCCAATTTTCTCGGTTTCCGGCGGATTTCCTCGGTTTCCGTCCGAAGGATAGAAAAGTTCGTTTGTCAATTTTTTAGAGGCATTTTTGCGCAGTGAAAGAGAGCCCCGAATACGGACCTAAATAATCGCGAAATCACCTCAGCTCTGATTCCCCCCGGAAATCCAGTCAGATATCGCGCATCGGATATTGGCCGCTGCTGATGTCCGATAGAACAGAATATTGAAACGAGTAATTAGTCGGCGTAAATATCGCATTAGCCGAGCAGCGGCTCATGATCTCATCGTTCCCTCCCCCCCGCCGCCCTCCGCGTGTAACCACGCTCTTGCAACTACTCCCTCCTATGCGGTCATGGTGACCTTTTCCATGGAAGGTGTGTCCGTCCGTCCGTCCGAAATCTCCGCGGCTCCGCGACATTCCTCAAGATTGGGCTCACCAGGCGGAATAATGAATGATGAATAATTCGAGGATCCTCTCGCCGCACCGAGCGGTTCGTTTCGCTTGCGGTGAAGGCGAACGACGAATGACGACTACGACGATGACGACGATGACGAGTGCGCGCAACACACGTGCGAGAGGCTCGGTATATTAATTTTGACATTTGAATCCGGTGCCGTCGGGGCCGGCGAGCGCGTCACATAACCCACGCGAGAGAGTATACGCGCGCGCTTACGCAAATACGCCCGATAAAAGAGAAACGCCAGAACCCGGCCGAACGATCGGGGCCGTAAACGGGCTGGCTGGCCGACCGGCCGAAATACCGCGCACCGTGCGGAAAAAGATTTCTCCAAATTTCATAAATCTTATCGCATCCAAACAAATTTCACCGTTGGCACGCTGCAAAGAAACTAACGTTTCGATTAATAAGTACGATCGTTAGACTTTCTCACGAAAAGTATGTATCTTCATCTTGAGTAAGAAATTTGCTCGCGAAACGAGGGGGAATTTTCTCATAAAGAAACTATTCGTCTCATTTTATCATAATTATCGTGACCGAGTAATATTTTATCCGGTTGGAAGATATGATTTCAAGCGATAGCGTCCTTCCCGCCAAATAATAGAGCTTTCTTGAATGAGACGATAAAATGTTCACACAAACAATTCGCATATTTCGCATATGTTGTCTCTATGAGGCAGATCTTGGTGAAATAACTAGAAGATAAGGACAAATAGAAATGCTGAGTCTAAAGAAACCTTTTTCTCTGCGTGGCATCGCGGTCAATTGCTTCGCGATGGATGCACCAAGGCGAGCCGATGCAGCTGCAATTGGTAATACAGGCTATTTCAGTCGAGTGACTGGGCGATTTGAGGAAAAAAGGGCGTATTCGCGCGCGCTCTCCAACGCGCTCGAGCGCTCGTGCCTGATCGCTGGGAAACGGTGCAACGCGCTGTGCGATAACGGCCACGTAATCAATGACTCTCGAGGGAAGATAACGCGCCTAGGCGAAGGGAGTGCACGTCGAAAAACGTACGTTCTCTCTCTGGTCGATGAGCGTCTCCGTCCTCGATGACGACGCTTTTACTCCGTCGACGCGCCTCGCGCGAATTTTACCGCGGCTGTGAAAGAGGCACGTACGAGCCGCCGGTGCGAAAACAAGTTGCCGCGCGTTGTCCGGCAGCTCGTCTCCCGCTTTCGAATAATCTCAGGAAGCGGCGGCGAGGAGACAAAAATGCGGCGTCTCTATTAGAACATATCGTTCACGCTCGAGGAGGTTCAGTCACCAAGTGCCGTATTTTCGGTGGCGCATCAAAGGGCCCTGCCATCAATTTACCGTCTATCCAGCATAATTGTGTTTCTGCGCATTTATTTTACTACGCAAAAAACAACTATATACCAAACCTCGTTAACTTTATTTTCAAATAAACGCAACGTTTCGCCGTGATATGTAACAGCATAATGCGACGCAATTTAAAAATTACATTCTTCGGGACAATTATTATTAGGGGTGTTCCTGACTCCTCTTAATATTTCCACCCAATTGGGCGGCGAATTCGAGTGATTATTTGTGGAATCATTGATGTAGTCAGTTACGTAATATGCTAATACACGATAGCCGGCACTTGTTATAACGCAGTTTTTTTTTTACTTCTGATGAGCATTTCGAAACGTTTTCAAGATACATTTTAGCATTTAATAATACATATTTCCTCATTCTCTTCAAACTTGAGGATATCATATATGGCACGAATATATGTAAATTTGAATGTTTTTTTTTTTTTTTTCGTTATTTATCATTTCATTCGGCTGTGCACGTTTCGAATTACGCAACGGGATACGCAACGTGTTATGCAAAACAAAACAACAGCATGGCATTTTGCTAATACGGCTAAAAGAATACTGATAATATAACCTCTTTTTCAAGGTTTTCATATCGAAGTAGTTATTCGGTAAATCTATTCTAATCTATACTTCTGTTCTAATCTATACTGCACCGCTGCACTTCTGTCTGCACTGTATTGCTGTCCTGACAGATTATGTCGTCTGACAAGTAAATCAGTATCTACATTAAAAGTTCACGGTTATATTCATTGTTATTACTTCTGAGAATATCATCTGTATGTTAGTCTTCAATCTTGCAACAGTTTTTTTTTTAAACTTCTGTCTTATATAAATAGGTCAAATTAAAACAAAATATAGTGTATTATGAGGTTTATATGCTTGCACACGTGCAATTTTATAAATGAATTCTCGGCAACACGATAAGGATTATTGAAATTTCTGTTACGCATTGTTAGTTCGATTAACTTTTGTATCGCGTATATATTACAGCGTTTATTTTATATCTGGTCGCAAAGCTGAGGCTCGAGCCTCCTTAATGCAGTGACACGTTAACGTCGTTTAATAAATAAAACGCCTTTTGCCACGTGTTTTTCTCTTCTCCGTCTCCGCGACGTAAACTCCTCGAGTCCTGGCCAGTTGACGCGCCGAAGTCGCTGGATTCTTATGACGCTCGCGGTTTCAGCGGCGAATCAATGATTAATAATCGTGTTCTCCCCCTCCCCCTCCCCCGCTGTCGGCTCTCTTTCTCTCATCGATCGTCCGTGAGCATCGATTTTTCGCTCGCTCGCTCTTGCCCTCTTCTCCTCTCAACCAGCGTTTTTCTACCGGCGGCGAGCGTTAATTGAGTTCCAACGGTGGCGCGTCCTGCCTCTCTCTCTCTCTCTCTTTCTCTCTCTTTCTTTCCCCCCGCGCCGGGAATCTCTTTTATTTATGCAGCAGCAGCATCTTAGGGGCTGATCACCGGTGGAGATCGCCAAGGGCGCGCGATTTCTCGCTGAATTATACAATCGGAAGGTCGCCGCGCCGATCGGCCGGCGGCGCGGAAGAGGAGGAGGGCTCTTAATTTTGCGCACGCGCGAATCCCTCTAAAACGCCTTTCGAAAGTCCTCGACGTAAGTTATTATGCAAAACGGCTACTTATAAGGCAAATATGAAAATTTATTCTCGAACCGCCTCGTCGCCGCCTTCACAAACTTTTACTCGGCGCGCTGACGCAAAAAGGCGGCTTTATCACTTACGTCTCCTCGCTCGTTCGCGCTCGTTTAGCCTCTCCTCCCCCCTCTTCATGAAGCCCATAAAGGCACGGTGTTATTGGTCTATTAACTTAACATCGCTCGATTCGCTCGCGCGTTATCGCCCAAAGTGGCTAACGGCGTCTCGTTGGAATTTCCAGAATCCCAGGTTCGCGGACGAGGATGGAAAAGCGAGAAAGACTCGCCGCTCTCCCTCCGAAGTCGGCCGCTTCTGAACGTGGTAGTGCGCTCTTTGTCCGCCGCGGGTCCTCCGTTGCGTACGTTCACGTACGTTGCTCGAGCACGAGCTCCCTTCTTACTTTTTTCTTCCTTCCGTCGAAAAGCGATAGCCTTCCTCCGTGAGACGATGCCATAAATCTGGCGGAACTTAATATCGCCGCTGCCAGTTCCGCGTGCCCGTTCAGTTTGTTGTCTACGACGAATACGAGAGGGGAGGGGTGGGACGTAGGAAAAACGAGGGTAGGCAAGACGAAACGACGAATACGCTTGCCAGGGACAGGAGTCGGGGGTCATCGACTTCGCGAACGTCGCTCGCTTCGTCCCTCTCCCTCTCCCTCTCTCTGTCTCTTTCTCTCTCTCTCTCTCTGTTCTCGGCCGCCGGCTGCCGGCGTCACCACCGCTACTCCCGTGCTGAGCGCGTGTTCGGAGGAAAAAAACAAATAATGATTAAGAATATCGAGGAACGTGACGTATTTCGAATATCAGCGGAGACCTTCGCGAGGGATTATCTCGAGCGGCGATCGGGGCGACATTAATGAGTGAAAATAAAGCGTGAAAAAAAGAGAAAAAAAATAACAGCGGCGGAGCGAAGCTGCGAACGGACGACGGAGG